GAAAGCAGCCTGCCCACATAGCACAAAGTAGCAAGATACTTATTCCTTCTCAGAAGCTTTACAACAGGGTCAGACCTGAGAAAGTGGCTGTTGTGGCCCTTTCACTTCCCTGAAGTTTGGAGCAGGATTGACTGCAGCAGAGGACTGCATACAGCTTCCTACATTGTTCATGTTCTTGCTGTATATTGTTCCAACATCCTACAGTCTCACTGTAATCCTTATCTACAGAACAATGTGAAAATATCAGCTTTTTTCCTGAAATGAATACCAGGAGCTGTTGACCAGATGATAAAGATTTTAATATTCACAAAAACAGAATGTCAATGAAGAACATCTTGTATGAGAATTAATGCTTCCAAGTCATATTGCATGCATTTTGGGAATGATGATTACTACTAGAAAAGCCTTACTCTCTCCTTTCTCTTACATTGGGAAGTTTAATTAGGCACCCACCAAAGACTGAGAATTACCTGTTGGAATTGTTCAGCTGTACTTTTTTTTTTATTATTGTTATTCTTGTCTGTGCTGGCCTGCAAGCCAAACCAGTTTTGATTTCCATATCTTTTATTTGTATATTGTTCAATCAGGCACGGGCCAATTCCACATTAAAAATAAATATACTGTGTCACCATCATACACTGCAGTGGCCAAAACCATAACGTGCTGCTGATTAAGGCTGTGCAAATAGAGCATCCCCTAAAGCAAGAAGAATGGGCACCTGCGCTCATGGGAACTGAGGGAGCAGCCTAAGTCTGGCTCCTCAGCAGCTTGGATGACCCTGCAGAGAATTATCAGCTCCCTGCTTTGCAGTAGAAAGATCTGAGCCTCCACAGCCTGGAGGGGAGGGAAAAAAAAGCAGCTCACAGATGTAGGTGATGTTTCCAGCCATGCTGTTCCCACACCATGAGCGGAGGAAAGGAAAGAATGACAAGAAAACTCTTCCGCTTATAGATCAACAATCTGTAAGGTATTGAAAGCTCAGTTCCCCAAAGGCCAAAATAAATACTTCATCACCATACTTCTGCACTCCAAGAGCTAAAAGACAATCTTCTCTTGCACCCCGACCCCATCTGCAGTTCTTACAGTAGGATATCCCATGACAAAGATCAAAAAATTAACACCATCCTATGCCACTGTGCTCTGCATCCCTCATTGCTGCCATGATTTTCATACTGTGAGAGCTGAGTTTGTGGTACATGTGCTCTACTGCAAGTCCAGAAATCTGAACTCCGTTTCCATTCTAACATACATCTCTGGTTAGAACTAAAGCTGCACTAATTTAACCCAAGGTTAATTTTTAAACTCTGGCAAGAAGCTTTATACAGATGCATATTTCTATTTAGGCTAAGCTCTTTCAGGTGTGGTTCAAACTTGGGAACTTGAAATAGACCTGATTTACACTGCAGTAGATTGCGTTTGCAGATTTCACATCTGAATCCATTTGATTCATATTGAATCTATTTCATCTGCATTTTTTAGTATCCATTCTCCGCTTTCTGCCCCTATTTAAGTGTTAAGCTCTGTCCTATTCATATGAAGAAATTCACATATTTATGTGAAAATGAGATATGCAGGTTCAGCTTTTACAGCTCTTCTCCAAATCCTGCCATGAAACAGACAGTTAATAATCATCACCAGACATGTTGAACCGTTTCCCTGCCTATTGAAATTACTATTCTTTCTCAACAATATATTCCAAAAATATTTTACAACCCCCAAAAAAGCTGTATGTAAAGTATGTGAGAGGAAAAAAAATATAATCAACTGTTTAATTTGATTTAATCACAAGCTGTGTTTTCTGCATTAACTCAGTCTCTGCAGTAGTTATACCTCCATCACCCTCCTCTCCATGCATGCTGGTCACATTCACTACCTGTTCTCCAAAGGCTGCTTGCCTAGATCAGCGTGGCTGGGATATTTTGTTCGTCTCCGTGCTTAGTCTTTTGCTTTGCCATTTTCCCCTAAGGCCAGCTTTTGTCCTCCAAATGTAAACAAGCCTTACTTCCCACAGTTTCAGACTTTGAGTTTGACACATTTGTCCAGCCCCCCCCTACCCATTTTTTCATGTGACACAGCACCAGTTTGTTCCCAAAGACAACAACCCAAAATACAATGTAGTTCCAGTTTCTATGGATTACCTGGGACATCACTGTCTCTCCTTCCTGCTGCAGGGTGACGGCCAAGATATATACCCAGATTACCTGCTCTGGGTGGCCCTGCTTGAGGAGAGTCTGGCCAGATGACCTCCAGAGGTCCCTTCTGCCCTCAACTACTCTGAGACACTACAATCTAATATTGTAACTTCCCCACCAGCCTCTGCTACCCCAGACAGAAGTCTTAACATCTGGCTCACTTGGTTTTTATGCATAAGAAGGCCCAGCATAGGTAGAAATGCCCTTTTAGTTTTCTTTGAAGTGATCCTCACTACTCATTTCCAATTACATTTGGTCCTTCTTTCCTGTATGATCCATTGGCCTTCAGCTAGACCTTAACTTCATCATTTCAGGCCCTCTTATTTGCACTATCTGGTCCTTGCAGACTATTCCCAAATAATCTGGAGAGAGAGAGAAAAAAAAAAAAAAAAAAACAGCTTTCACAGATTCTCTGCACAAGTAAAAGCATAACATGGACATCTTATTCTTTCAGCAGGAGGAGTGTGCCATTACCGTAGTATTTCTTTCATCGTTTAATACATGCAGTTTTGCTCCACTGGTCTTCCTACAGGATTTTGCTGCAAAGATCAATTGATCATTAAATACATTTTGTTTGCAAGCTCTTTGGGAAGGCACCATATTTTGTTGTCTGCCTGTGCAGTGCCTGGAGCAATAAGGTCCCTTCACACCATAGCAATGTCGATAAGATATACTCCCAACTGTGCTAGGTGCTATACATACATACAGTGACACGTAGGAGATTGGTGTTGCCACTTTTTTTCTTTGTTGCCTACTAGTCTAGTTTAGGTAACAGATGAAGACAAGATAGGATGATAAATGATCCTGCATTACATGGTTGCACATCTTAAACAGTTAAAATCAACACATATTTGTAAGTGATTTGACTGGGAAAAGCATGAGGCACTACTAATGGAAGCAATCTCAGCTGCAGTAGAAAATACAGGCACAGTATCATCAAAGGAATATCCAGAATAATTTGTAATATTTTCCATTAAAACAGATCTTGTTAACCTGTAGACATCAAGACACAGTAAGACATCCAAGATATAAAGGGGAAAAAAAAATTACTTTTATAGAAGCAGCTAGACAATACAAAAACAAACTAAAAAAAAACTTGTTGGCAGTTTACCACCAGTGGGAGATAATTCCCTGGGCTTGGGGTACCTCTGCCTACCTAGTCATTTGTCCACAGGCCTCTCCACAAAGGACTGTATAAATAACACATGTTCCTCTTGCCTTTGTTAGAGGACAATTCTTAGGTTGCCTTGGCTTTGCAGTGGGATAGACATTAATAAGCACTATCAGCAGAAGCACCATCCCAGCAGCATATGTGGATACCCGCAAGCTGAGGCTACCTTCACAGTGATAGTACCCCATCCGGAGGTCAGAGAGAACCCAACCCCAGCCTGCTGGCTCTGTCAGGTTCCTCTAACACAGCCCGTGCAGCCCACAGAGCAGGCTGCCGACAGGCTCAGAGCTGGGCTCACTACAAGAGGCCGCAAGCGCTTCTGCCGTGCCCAGCATCACCTACTGGAGCAACTGGCCAGCACAGCCAGGAGTACAGCTGAGTAGCACGTACTCACTCTTCCAAGCTCCTCCCAAGCATGAGATCAACTTTTCGTTCTTACCCAATGCATAGATGTTTGCCAGAGATTAAAATAAACATTGCTGTGGTTTTGTGTTAGCATCAAAATCAGGAGGACTGTCAGGCGCTAGTGCTTGACACTGAAACCCATCTGCAAGGCTACCTCTAGGTCTCAAGGGATTCTTCTTTGAATATTTTTTTGGGGGGTATATTTGTGCCACTGCTGTTCTTCCTTGGTGCCTTCCACCCAAAAAAAATTGCATTACAGTCAAAGCAGCAGACACCAGGAAAGCCATCAATTCAATAGTCCCCTGTGCTGCAGGGCAGGGGTTAAATGCAAATCATCCCAATACCCAACCCTTTGTAGCTGGCTACAAGACCTCTCGAGCTGTGCAGCAGAAGCAGATCTGGGATGATGTGTCACCAGAATTACCAGAGGTTTATTGCATTTTTCTCCATTCCCAGAGGGAAGGGCATGAAAGGTCTCACACACTAACAAGTCCCCATCCCAGCAGCCTGCAGCAGAGTATGGCAGCTCACCTCTGCCATCAGAAGTTCTGGAGGCAAACCCCCAAGGAAAAGGCATATGAGCAAACACTGTTCTCTATTTGATACTCTGATTGCAGAACTAAAGTTTTCACTCTTGTCCAAATGGCGGTAGCATTTTCTGTACAAAAAGAAAGTAACATTCTTACCTGCACTAAATTCCAGGCTTCTGCTTTCCTCAAAATACCCTCATACACACCTCTTTTAGGCAGGTAAACATGTTTCCACACACATTTCAGGCCTGCTTCTGAACCCATTACATCAATGTCAAAGAGGAATTACTCCAGCAGAGGCAAAGCCAGTGTAAAACAAGCCCAAGTGGGAAAAGAATCACACCCTTCCTTTTAGTTTCTGTGTAGCCCTTTTCCCCTCCCTTTGCATAAGCCTCAACTCTCCAAGTTCAAGGCAAATGCTTGCAATATTTCTGTGTTATCCTCAGTAATGTGACAAGAGTAATTACAGAGTCCAGGGAAGCTAAGTAACACTGCTAAAGCAGTGGGTGGTCTAACGGCTTGAATAGCTCCTGTGCACTCAGGTTGGAGGGGGAGTCCCCCAGACCCCCACTTGGTACCCTAGGTAATTCAGCCACGTTCTGCAACACTGGTCTTTTTGTCTGGGACGTCTTGGCACCAGCGTTGCTTCACTGACTTGAGACATACCCAAGTTCTTTCAGGTGGTCTGCAAAGTTAACTCACCCTTAAAGAGTTTGTCCTTGGTACCCACCAGATTCCCTTCATCCTCCATTTCAGTCAAAAGCTCCAGGGTGAAGCACTCTGCACATTTTTGCGAGGAAAAACTGCTCAGAGACAGCTATTCCAGGTGCACAGGCTTTTGCTGAGTACAGCATTATTTGGGGTGTTCTCTAAAAAAAAAAATAATAATAATAATAATAATCTACTTTTACAGTAAAAGAGTCATTTGCCATGTGTAATGTGCTGAAATACTTTGCCACAGCAAAGTCTGGTCTAAACATGTTGTTGGCCAATAAAAGGGGGGAAACACACTGCCAGTAAACATTTGCGTGGTATGTCTTTGAAGGCTTCAAGGCAGACTAAATGGAATAATTGTGAAGATGTATTATTTATAATACAACAAATCTTCCCCACAAGATATAGGTCTCCATTAATCTAGTACCCAACTGCTTTTAAGTGCATTTTTTTAATGTGTTTACCCTGCTAAGGGAGTTATGTTTTATTATCTCCATTTTGCATTTGGGGAATTGAGGTACTGGGAGATTAATAGATTTGCTCGAGGTTACATAGCAAATCTCCAGCAAAGCACAAATGCAGACCAAGTGTCCCAGATTGTTCTTCTCCACTGGATGTATCCATCGATATGCCAGGGCACATTAAAACATCAAAGATCTCTTGTGACATGGCTTTTTCCCTGTATAAAATAAGATTGGTCTCATGTGAGCAAGCAACATTGTATTGGAGTCAGCAGAAGTTCACCTATTTACATGAAAGCTGAAGCAAGATCTGGAGCTGCTGTTGGAATATCCTTATTTTTCCCAGCTATCCAGTGCTTTCAACCCAAATTCAAAATACCTTTTCACTGACGAAAACTGCTGCATCTGGCAAATGACCTGTTCACTGATAAAGATTCACTGATACCGCTTGCATTTCACATGCTACCATCTGAAGTCAGATATTGCTTCATGTCTCCCTCAAGCTTAGTGGACCTGCAGCTTTTGAAAGTCTGCCCACATGCTGAAGCTCCTAAATGGGGATTTAGGACAATGGGTTTCTGGACAGGTTGGTTTGGTTTTGATCTTGACCCATGTGAACTAGTGATGGAAGGTAACATTTTTCCACAGTACCCTACAACAGCAATCCCTGTAGATGAATGGCCTCATTGGAATCAGTGGGAGAGAACGTGTTCCTGTGTCCCATCAGCTCTCCACATCAGGTTCCATGAAGATTGGGACCTATATTGGTCTTGATCCTACCATAGAGTCTGGGAAACTGGGAAGACTGCAAGCCCTTCTCTCCAATTTGCCAAATGCCAGCTCAGTCCTCTCACCCCAATCCTCCCTGGGAGGATAAAACCCCAGCCAGTGCAACCAGAACATCGTTGCTTTCAAGATGATGATGTTGAATTCATTTCCAAGCTCCAGTTTAAAGCTAAGCATAAGGGGAATTTGAATGAGTAATAGGGCTGATAGCAACGACAGCAGAATATCCTGTGCCTGCAGATACCCACACATGCCCTTGTCAGCACGTAGAAGGAGATGACATAAAACCTCCATGTCTCACCACAAAAATAAAAAAAGAGAACAACCAAGGGCTTTGCCTAAAGCACCGTGCCTGGGGAAGGTAGTAATGGGAGCTTAAATTATTCATTTACAGGACTAAAAAAATCCCCTCGGTTCAGCAAAGTGAGCTGCACCGAAGGTGTTCTGTGGAAAACACGAGACTGGTGAGCTGTTCCTTGTCAGCACGGACTGTGGGCCCACTTTAGCTCTCACACACACCCTGAATGGCAGAGCTCCTGTTCTTCTGTGAGGACGGAGACTCAGTAAGATTACTCTGTGAGTCACCATATCTAAGTCAGCCTCATGACTCGAACAAACGAGACGCGGTCCTCGCTGCAGAGCTGCCACTGGAGAGCCCACAAGCAGGATTCACCTAGCAGGCAGGCAATACCTCCTCACAGCAGGGGCCAATTTCATTTTCCATTTAAAATCAGGGATACATGAAGGTAAACAGCAGCCACGAAACTGTAGGCTGCTCCATGCCTCCTGCTCACTTTGAATAAGTTTACCCCAGGGAGGAGAAGTGGTTTTGAGGTGAAATACAAGACTGAGGAGCTCAGATATCCTTATCCTCCACCAAGGTAAGCCCCACGTGCAGAACATGATGCTCTGCCTCCAGCACAGCATCTGGGCTGCCCAAGACACATCAGACCTCCCTCTCCAGTTAAAGATTATTCGGTGTCAAGCGCTCGCCGGCACTCTGAACAGCTGAACAATGAGTTTTCCCACTGCCTCTCCTGCTAATGACGAGCGAATAAAGAATCCCCTAGGGAATTTCCCTTCATCTGCTCACGAGTGCCACTTCGCTAGTCACATTTATCTGACAAATCTTACAGATGGCTTGGCATGAGCTTGCGACAAGCACTCCATCTTTGGAGCTGGGATTGGCTGCCCGAGCCACACGACGCTTCCTGTGGCAAATTGGACAAGCCCACGGGAGAGCCTCACGCTGCTGGAGAAACACCCCGGCAACCCCAAAGCTTCATCGGGCACAAGACACTGATGAAGGTGATGGCATTCCCAGCGCAGCAGCCACCACGAGAGGAATGGGGTCTCTCAGCACAGGAGAAATTGTGCTCCAACCCAGGCAGAAAGACATCCTAGTAAATGACTTCCCTTGAGTCATTTTCCTGCTGTTACTGTGCTGAATGCCTTTCTGTTAAAGATGAATTTTCCCCGTTAAAATAATGGGGGAAGAGAATATAAAGACCCATCTGCAGGCCACATTTTTAGAGGGGTTTTTGTTTGTTTTCCAACATTGTCTGTGAAACGTTGGTTGAGTCTTCTGAGCTCTTTCCAGATGTGTACTTTCCTCATCCTATGTACCCAACTCTAATTCTATTTTGAAAGCTGTTTGACTCAGGCAAATGAATAGCAGGATTTTAAAACAGATACAAATAGTAAAACTAGGTTTTTGCACAGTCCCATAGGTACTATAGATGGGACCGTCCAAACACAGACCCTTCTAATCCACCAAGAAAATGCCCTTAAGACCTGTTCAGAGTCAGACTTAAACCCCATAAAATCCAGGAAATTCAGGGATAAGCCTGGCTATCTGGACTGATATTCTGTCCTCAGTTCACCTTACTGGGTAAATGTTAATGAATGCATTTGTTTATTCCCTACAGTTCTATGCGGGGAATATCAACAATCTGATATTATGGGAGGAGGTGAAATTTTTTCTCCTGTATGTGTGTGTGTAGGAGTTGCTCAATATAATTTATTCTCTTTCACAATAAGACTTTACAGCTCCTCGATCCTTTCAGAGCTCTGAAGCTATGCAGGGTCTGTCTTGTAAAGCTTCAGGGAAGAGGCCTCGAAGGAAAATCAGTTATTACAGGAAACAGGGCCGATTTTCCATATCACACAGCCTCTTCCCTCTATTCATATTAAGCTGTATTCCAGTGCAAAAAGCCCATCCAGATGCTTTTCACAGAGGATCCAAACCTAGACCTCCACAGGCAACAGGAGACCAAGTGCTCCAGTCAAGAGCAGAGGGGAACTGGAGTGCACAACTCTTCTGGAGCAACATCTCATGTCCACCTGCTGCAGCACCCTGCATAGCAGCAGTGCCACATCAAGTATGAGCAGAAGAACAGCCACACTGGTCCACCTAGCCCAGCACCAGGTCTCCTGTAATGGTCAGATGTCCAGAAAACAGCAGAAGCAAGGCAGCCACTTACGCTATTTCCCTCCCATTTCTGCTAGCCATCAGCTGTTTTCAGATGAAGGAATTTCCGAAGCCAAATGTGGTTTCTAGCTACTTAGTAATCTTCCATACATTTCTTTACACAAACTTGTCCAGCCATCTTTTGAACCCTAACAAGCTTTTAGCCTCCACAGCAACCCTTGGCAGCAAATTCCTCACCCCCACTACCAGTTGCGCAGAAAACATCTTTTTCTGTTCTAAACCTGGCTTTTCCTAGTGTGTTGTTTTTTTTTTTTTATATGACCTTAAATCACATATTGCCACAGAAAAGAAAAAAAAAATCCTACCCACTCTTTCCCCACTACTTTTGGTGGGGTCCTACCCCAGCAAAACCACCTCTTCTTCAGGCCAAGGAATCTCAGCCAACTTGATCTTTCCTTATGCAGAAGCCATTCAGATCACCATTTCTTATCCTTTCTCTCAGTTATTCCAAGCTCTGCTGTGTTTGGGATGGGGATTCCAGAACTGCTTGTGGTATTCATGGTAGTCATGTATTTCACGTATACTTGCCAGTACCTCTTTTTCCTCTCCTTCTGAGCTCCCAGCACGACCCTTTCACTTCACACTTAGGAAACACTATCTTTCCCCTATTATAGGCAATAAGAAAGTAGCAAAAAGGCTTGTCTTTAGTTTTATAGCAGATCTGTGAGTCAGCAGAGAAGCAGACCAAAATTTCCAGAGCCTTTCCTGATGCTGTGCAGTCCAGCAGGTACTTTCTGATGATAGCCGCTGCCCTGGTGACTTGGCCAAGTTCCAGTTTGGACAAAGTTCACTTGCAATTTTTAAATGAATGAAGCTGACCCAAGTCCAGTTATAAGTTTTCATACAGCACTACTCTTTCACCCCATCAATGATAGGTACCGTAACTGAGATATAATTCAGGTGCTGCTGCATTTAGGAATGTGTGTGTGAGCTTCCAGGTGTTCTCTCAGAGTGAGGACCAATAGCCACAGACACTTCTACCCACCTATAAAGCATTCTACTCATCTATCAACTATTTTTTCCCCTCCCCATCCCCAAAATACACAGTACAAGTGAGTTTAGTTTGGGCAAAGATTTCTGCGGCCCAAGAGGGAAGATGCACAGAGACTCTCTGGTGTGTGGTCGAGGTTTTGTTATCACCAGCTAATTTGGTGTAAAAGATATGCAGCTACTACTGCAATGGGTAGCCCTACAAGCTCTTAAGATAGGCAAAACTTCCATTTGTGACAAAATTCATCCCTGATAAAAATGGCACTATTCCATCAAAATCAATAAGGTTGCACCTGTGAGTGCCAGCTGTGAATCAAGTCCATGGTTCTCAAATGATGCAAAGTGCTCCAGGAGGAAAGATGCTATATTTAGGTCCCATATTATTGCTATGTAGACATTTTCATAACCCCTAATTATGGGGCTTTTTTTTGCAAGCTCTGTAGTATTAACTGGATTGGATAAATATATAATTAGAGAGTGTTTCAACATGCACACTCTTGATGCTGGAAGCTTTATCAGCTCTTTCTTCCCTTCATGATCTGTTTTGCTTTTCTTTTAAAGCTGTTTCTATCAATTATAGCAAGATTTACTCAGAGCCCCAATACAGGGTCATTGCAGACACCCTGGTAGGATAGAACAGAGCTACGTTTGTTCCCAAACCCTTCTGATTTCCAGAAAGACACCTCCAGTTTGTCACTATATCACAACATTGCCCAAAGCCAAGCGGATCAGACAGGAAAAACTAACAACAACAAAACAGCAACAAAAAAAACTTTTCAGATGTTCCCTGACCCCAAATTGTTTGTAGGCCAAGGGTTCATACTCCAACAGCTTTAATAGAAAATCTAGTGCTGGATCCTAGCAGTGGACAGAAAGTAAGACCAAGGAAATTCTTCATTTTCTGAACAGTGACAGAGACACACAAGTAATTTCAAAGATTTCTAGACTGGAAGTAGATACACCCCTGCCTAGAAGAACAACCACCCTAACAAATTACTAAATTGGTTGACAGGAAAAAGCCAAGTTACTTTTTTCCAGCATCCTGCTTTGTCACGGTGAAAGATATTACCGATGTTTAAATCTAACTAATCCTACAGGAATGGGGGTGAGAAAAGTAGCATCAGCATTTTCATTTTGTTTCCAGCTGCTGAAAAAGCCGGTATCACTGTTTATTGCTAACCAAAAATAAATAAATAAACCTTACACAAATACACTTCTGCGCAGGCATGACCAGTAAGTGATTTATCAGAGTCTTTCAGATGTGCTTACAAACCTTTTCCTCTTACACCAGCTTATGCCCAGTGAGAATCTGAAGAGCTAAATTACAAGTATAAACACTTCCAAACAGAACTTAATAATAGAAAGAATTAAGAACACCGCTCGAATGACATGATACGGATGCCATATTATTAAACAAACGGCTCACAATGGTATTATGACATGAGTCATAATGCCCGATGCCGTGAACATATTGCAAAAAAGAACAATAGCTGTTATCACCAGCTACAGAGATACACAGAGCACAATACCAGGAGCCCAACTGCTGACTGATGTAAAGCAACACTTTTGTCCACAAGCCAACGGGATAAATTCACACCTGGTGCAAAAGGGTGCAACTGAACTGAAGCTAGGAGAGTTGCAGCATCTTCAGCTAGTCTCTGATATTGTACCAAAAGTACTATGAGCCTTGCTCTGCACAGTCTTGCAGCCTGTTTATGACTGCAATTGACAGGGGAATTCCAATTTGGTAGGATTTTGAATCCACTTTCTGCAGGTGTGAATAGCTGAATCTGGCCCTACATTAGCACTAACATATTTTAAGCCTAGCAAATCACAGTACATCTGAATTGTTGTAGTGTTCAATACTGTCACCAAAAAAAGTTTGCAGAGACAGAAAACAGGCAGCCATAAGCACATGGACTGGTTTACCATTCCTTTTGTTGTTGTGTCTGGTAATTGTGGACTGCAGCTGGTGATGCTGAAGAAAAACTACTGTAAGAGCTGGCACATTCACAAGCCCAACAGACAGAGCATGGAATAAAATCCCGGGGTGCACTTACAGCATGTGCTTCCCATAATTAAAAGTCTATTTGTGGCACATGTAGTAGGAAAAGCTTTCATTTAGGGTAAAACTTAAACATAACTCTGCTTCCAGACCATATCTCCTTGAACTGGGTTACTGCATCAAGCAGAATTAACATCCTCCAAGCTCCACATCTGTAATTATCAGAGGGGGATGAAGACAACGTGAGGAGAACCCACCCATAATATGAAACGCAGGGCTTGGTTCACTGTCACACACTGTTCCCTTAGTGATTCCACCACTGTGGTGCGCTGCTAATATAAACAGTCAGCTTGATTTCTGTGTGCCTATCTCATGGCAAATATGAGACACCTGGCACAGAGGCTTAGCGGGATCTACAAGGCCCAGGGGCCACCCAGCAGCTCCTGGTGTAGGCAGCACAGCCCATACAGGACACATGAACAGGGTGCTGTGATATTCTGTCCGTTTCTCAGTTTTGACAGCAGCACTGGGGACCCCTGGCAGCTGCCCTAAAGGCAGCCTCAAGGTTGCTGTGAACTGTGCTAAAGACCAAGCCAGCTTCTGAACAATTTCAAAACACGGGTTGAGCAAAAGTGTTTTGCTGCGCTCTCTTGGATGTGGAGCTGGCTGGAGCACAGCCACATCTGAGCACAGGCTGCCTTCTCTTCTGCTATCACAAGGGCACCTACCCACCCTGTACATAATGCAAGAAGGGTGCAGTACTCAAGAAAAAACTAATCAAGAAATCTGCTTAAAGTAACAATTAGTTACATTACCTTTGATCCATTAGCAGGATCCCCAAAATTTTAATAGAGATATTAACCTGGTAGAAGGTGATTCACTTGGAGAAAGCCTTACATTTTGTGTGTGTTTACACATAAAATGCGTACTCACCCGTGCAAACATGCCACCCAGATCAAGCCAAGCATACACAATACATAAGACATAAATAAATACTTATGAATCACCAATAACCACCTCATAAATTACACGGCCTTACAAAGTATCACTGCTAGAGATAATTCACACAATTGGATACAAAACACACATATACGACTCTCATTAAGACAGATAAGGACTGTTTGTTTCCTTTCATAAGAGCCTGAGGCCTTAATTTACTAAGGTGCCAAACTATTATTATTTTTTTTAAAGCTTGTAGCCTCACAGCTGTGGGTCAGTTCCAAAATCAGACCTAGCAATGAGCCATAAGAGACCAAACAACTGCAAACGCAGTGAGCAGAAGACAGGACAAAAGGGTCCAGAAGTCCAGGAGCCCCCAGTCTGCTCCAGCTTCCAGAAGCAGCAGCCAGCAGTTTCCAGGCAGCATTTACATCCCTTTATCCTTAACAGATGGCACTTCAGCATCTACCTCTCCTACCTGTTCCCACTGCAACACCCAGGACCAGCTCCCACTTCGCACAAACCAGGACCAAAGCTCCAGCTGCAGGAGAGCGCAGCGACAGAAGCGCTCCATAGCCCACAGCAAACTCTTCTGCAGGACAAACACGAGCTGCTCTCCATCTGACACAGCACAGAGGGACAAGAACAACCCTGCAGCCTCAGCCTGGGCAAAACCTAAATGCCACTTTGGTACCACTTGACTGATACAGCCCAAACACTGCATGTTTGTTTTGCTGACACAAAGGTTTAAGTTTGCTCCCCAGCCACATCTTCTTTCCTCTTGGATACAATAGTCATCTTCATAGCACTTATTATAACATATTGCAGCAATAATGTGCAATTATCCTCAAAAACAAAGCAAAAGCTCAAGATAAAAATAACAGGCACTGAACACACTTACCAGCTGGGAGAAGGCAGCACGACTGCAGTCTACCACAGCGCAGCCATTTTAGGGACGCAGCTGCATCTTCCAGTCTGATTTCAAAGGCTGGTCTGCAGGAGGACAAGCTGGGAGGTGGGCTCTCTCCAAGAGAAGGCAGTGGCCAGGCTCAGCTGTGACTGCCCTAGCTCTGTAGAGATCTCGTGAGGTAGAGACAAGCCTCAGGTGTGGGTCTAGGTGCTTTGCAGCTAGGTTCAGTGATTGCATTTGGGCTAGGCAAGAGCTTGAAATGCTTGGCACCTGTGAGAGGTCATCCCTTCATTAGGACTATTAGGTGCCCAGCAACCACAGCTCTCATTCTGGGTCCTCCTTTCTAGCAGTGTGTGACCTAGGGAAATCAATACACCTCTTGGGTTTTCTTCTTGATCTCTTTTTTTGTTTTGTTGGATATCTCTACTTTGACACTGCCCACAGCAGACTCCTTCAGTGTCAAGTTTATTACTAGGCTCTAACTCTTCCTTTCCCATGCTTTTACAACAATGTATCATAAAAACAAATGATAGTAGAGAAAAAAAAAAATATCCAGCACCAAAAAGAGGGAGTCTGTGAACTGAAGTAGGGACTTCAAATTCTCAGCAGCAGATCATCAACATGGTAAAACTAAGTGTAAGGAAGCTGTACGTACATCTGATGTCTCTGACGGTTTCACAGATCTCTCAGGTTATACAGCATCTGTGTACAAACTTAGCACCTCTGCTTTGTACCAGGAAGACTGGTTAGAGCTGCACACATTGAAGGAGGGCCTCTGTTGAATAGTATTGGCCAAATCAGATTAAAAACCCAATATCTATGATGAAGGCTGCAAGCTGCCTGCTCAGAGAGGTTCCACTGATGTGAACCAGAAGTTCCTTGCATGTGGTCAGGCCCTAAATTTGATACTGGAATTTAAAAACAAATTAAGATTCCCATGTAATATTGACTTTTTTTTTTTTTTTTTAAGTATAAGATTTTACAGCATGGAATGCTATATGCAGTGGTTACATGAGTCCAAGTAATTGTACCAATTATATAATTTGATATAATTGCACTAATTACATAAACACATAATAATGAAATATAAGTTATTCCAAGAGCTAAACTGGAAGAACATTAAAGAACCTAAATCTGCTCCCACTTATTCTAGTACAAATCAGAAACAATTCCCCTGAAATCAATGAAGTTACCAAAATAAAATTGGTCCCTAACATTACAAGAAGCCAGGTAAATGCAACTTTTGGTTCAAGGGCAGTGACTGTGCAAGCAAATGAAAGCTACTGTGTTATTCTGTGCTGAAGGAGTTTGCTAATTCCTGGCCAAATTCCAGTGTATGCAGGGAGAGTCTCCCTGTGTTTATGAGCAGGTGAGTTGTCTTTACCTCATATTCTGTGTCTGTCATGCAGTATCAGTGGCCTTTGCTAAGTCTTTTAGCTGCTGATTCTAAAGTTAAAAGTGGATTTTTTTTAGAAATACTGAGAATGAGTTAGGCCTGATCAGGATTTCAGGAAAACCAGGTTCATGTGTGTCCTTACCTGTGTTGTTGCCTGAATTAAATCTGCAGACCTTAGGGGAGTTTGTGCAGACTGACACTAGTATTAACAGAAAGAGACTTTCCTCTTAGACAAATATTTATATTCCTGATCCATTTCACAAAATGCTTTTCAATGCTTTTCACACTAGAAACCAATCCAAACATAAAAATATTATTAAGAAGGATTCATTCAGTGAAGGGTTTCCCTCTTCTCCCATGGCAGGGGGAATGCTGTAATTAATTTCAGTTGTTGACTTCATCTCTCACAAGTAGCAAAGCAAAGGACATGAGACCTGGCAGTTTTGGAGCAGGTGTCTGTTATGTGTAGAAATACATGATGTATGCAGAGTTAATCCACCAAGTGCTCTGCTGCACCACATCGTGACAGTCACCCCGTTCTCACAGCCCTCATTAACACCAGTGGGAGTTCCAGGCACCAGCACAGGGGTTTTGCCTGTGCTAGAGTATTTTAGAGGACAGAAATTCTCCAGCTCCAGAGATTGATTCCACTCCACAAAACAGTACAATGACTTAGCATTTACAGGACCAAACTCAAAGTCTATAAGACACAAGAGAGAGACAGCGATTCACCTCAGAAAGGGGGGTATGGACCTCACCCAGATGGTTTTTTAGATACAGTGCCTAACACAGCACAAGGTAAAGAAACTGGATGCTCAATTTTATAAGGCTAGGAATTGGAGACAGGAAAATAAAACCCCAAAATTTCAAAAAGCAATCATCAAGTTTGGGCATCTAATTTTTCAGCTTGCCTAATTTCAGAAATGCAGGAGGTGGCAGCTGCAAAAAGTGGGGTCCCTGCAGCCCCCTGCAAAAAGCTAGCAAGAGCAGCAGCCTTGCCACATCCCTGAAAAATCAAGCCCAAACTGTCTCAGACTGGCTGCCCCAAATTAAGACCTTTTTAATTTTATTTCATTTCAGCCTTAGAAACCTGTGTGTCGGGTTGCTGTCAGCAGTAGGAGTCAGGAACACGTCGCTCGTACACTGTGCTCAGAGCAGCAGGTGATTCCACACCTCAGAAAACCCAGAGAGTGTTGCACCCAGGTCAGTTTCCAGAGACTGCTTCACATAAAATAAAAGGACCTAGGAACCTGGACTATGATCCAGCCCCCTGAGGTGTTGCCCCCACAACATACAGATTTATGCTCTCCTTTGCATTTCTACATCTGCCCCATGAACCGTAGCTTCACACAGAGGGGCAGGGACAGCAGGAGAAGAAAGCCGTGAAACTTTTTGCCAAGAAAAGGGGGTTTTTATGCTGTCCTCTGTGAAATTGTTCAGGATCCCAGGCTTGCCTGAGGGTTAGCAGTGGGATGCAGGATGCAGACTGCTCCCTGCTCCTGGCCAGCCCCAGCTCGCAGCCATTTGGGCTGCTGGCAGCTCCCCAGGCCAGGGGGTCCCCATCCCACCCCCAGACACCCTGTTCTCCTCATGGTGGAGCACATACATCCCTATGTCTGACACAGGGCCTGTATTCAACCCCAGAAACCAACCACCTTGCAGTGGGAACAAAGCCTAAACAGGCTCAGCCTGTGGGGCCCTGCGCTGAAGAGATTTCTCCAGTACATCCCGCTTCTAGAAGTGCGTCCCACTCTTATTGACAAAGGCTGGCTATGGCAGGGGGCGGGCAGAGCTGTGCTTGAATTTGAACTGTAACCAGAACCCGTCATTAGCTGCACGAACCTGCTTCTTCAACACTTTCCAGGTCTCGGGGTCAGAGCTAACGTTTGCTAAGTCAACAGCAGTCCTTCTGTCAGCATCAGCTGGCACTGGGTCGGGCCTGCGGGAGGAAGGATCCATCTGCGGAGGTCAACGAAATCGATACCTGGATACACGCGCAGCTGACAAGGATTTCTGCGAGTGCTTGTCAACATTTTTTTGGTTCTGTTAGCAAAGAGGACATGTTTTACTCAAAAAAACATCTCCCGGGTGGCAGTGAATTGGAAAAATAAAAAGTCCATCGGTGTTAGCGCTGACCTGTTTTTCCTGGAAGTGCTTTCCACCTTACTTCTCACTTCTGGTGAGCGTGCAGGGAGTGACCCCGGCGAGAAGCCGCATTCCTACACAGCGGGTGAACCAGGAACTCGCTCCCAGCCAGCGGCAGGTATGCGGAACGCTGCCCTGCCCGCACGGCGGCTCCGCTGAGCCCCACGGACCCTCACCGGGGCAGGCAGCAAGAAGCAGATGCTTGCTTACAAGTGCAGGCAGCAATAAAGCGAGAGCACAGCGCTTCAGGACGGCAGCTGAGCTCTCAGGCACAGCTTTCTGCAGTGACTAATACGACTACGGTCTAACGCGACAGTTCGCTGCCTGCACCTGCATTCAGTCCCGAAAGTAACTGAGCGTCTCCAGATGTTACACACTGCACTAAATAATAATAATAATAATAAAAAAGCACATTCATTTTTCAATCTTTTTTTATTATTATTTATTTAAACTGTACACAAATGTAAAATACTTCAACAGCAAATCTAAGTGAAATTTGTTTGGTTTAAATTATTATGGAACAGAACCTAAAAGGAACTTTATTAAATAAACATAAAAATTGGATTTAAAGGATGCACATATTGTAATGTATTCTACAATAGTCATTTTTTTCACTCTACTTTCCATGTGCGTATGGTATAGAAAAGACACTGAATAGAACAAACAGAATCCATTTTGTACCCTGAAACAATTGGTAGGCCTCGTGAGGGATTGCTCAGTATGACTACATGATATATGATGGCTTTGCCATCTCATAAAAATTATAACTAATATGTTGGCCTCTTTGGTTCCAAAATTTATGTATAATACATTTAACTGTATTCATTTTTTGCTGCTATAAAAATAACATTTTTTTCAAATGGCAGTTTTTTGACTAATCATGCAACTAAATCAGTGCAAACATTAAAAGCAATCATTCGCTTTAAAAAAGAAGCAAAAGATTTAATTTCAAGTATAAAAAAATATAAAAAAGTCATATCATAAGTCCAGTTTTGTCTAGTATGGGTCAACACTTTAAATTGCATAGCTCATGCGGCACCTGTTTACCTAGATAGTGAGCAAAGATAAGTGCACTATCAAGTACCACTTTTCAAGGCATTGAAATTTGCAAGTGCTATTATACGTGCATTCAAGCAGTTTGCAAGTGCTATGCTGTATCATTATTTTCTGATCTTTATGGCCATCCTTGACACCTCCTGGTAAGGAAATTGAAAGCACTCTCCTCTCTTCTCCTTTCCAAGACTTGTTAAAATGTTCCTCGCCCATTATTAAATGCACTGCATTTTTTCAGAATGTCTCCACTGCATGACTGTCACTCCTCTTTAGGGTTCATTGGTTTAGCCGTGGTAGCGGTCGCTTGCTTGCTTGCTCCCCACGTGGCGGGCCCTTGCTGAGTCCCCCATTGAAGAACGCAGATTGCAACTTTGACTCTTTGCTCTCGGATCGCTGAGGGATGCTCACGGTCAACGCAGGCCAGATACGGTGTCAAATCCCCTCCTCCGAGACACCACAGGTACAGCCATCCGCGGGATGCTAGTGGTCAGTTAAAGCATCGGACAATGCCAGCCCAGCTTGTGACTTCGCAACAGCCTGACATCAGAAATATAGCCGTTGCCTACGCGTCTGTCTCCTCTCTCTCAGATGTCACCACACGATTCTTTACTGGAAGTGCTGTAGGGAGATACAGGTTTCTGTGATGCTTTTATTTAGATAAATTTAAATTAAGAGGAAGTGATCACCTACAAAGGCAGGTGTCCTGCAGCTTCCCACTAGACCTAAGAGGTGACAGTCGACTTCTTTTTTTTTTTCTCTTTTTTCTAAGTTTGGTCATTTTGACACCTGCGTGCAAGAATACGTCGTGCTCTCGCAGTCTGTGCTTTTGCCTGAGCAAAGGGAGCTCGTTTCGGTCTGACTTCGCCGGCAGGCGGGGAAACAGCTGCGCAGCCGTTCACTCGTACTGGCAGGCATTTAGGTACGTTGTCACTGGTCACTGACTTCCTGTGCTCATGTCCCTTTTCCAAGCTGCCTTGTGTCTGTGTCTGTGTGTGTGGGTGTCTGTGTGTGTACGAGCGCGTGTTTGTGTGCGTGCGCACGGTGTGTGTGTGTGTGTGTGTCTTTAAGATATCTCATAGCATTAACTTATAAGTGGTAGGATATATAAGTGTCCAAGATCCACAAACTGCCACTGTCCTGACACCAAAGTGAAATGATTTTTTTTTTTTCGTCAAACTTTTCCACAGTGACTTTTCAACACTGATGCCTGGATACACAGTGAAACTTCCTCCAACACCATCTCGTATGGGAATGTTCTCTCTCTCTCTCCCCCCCAAAAACACACACCTCAAATCAAGCACAACCACATTCTTCCACAATCATATTGGGAACGTCCCTTTTCACAATGTTGTATTCATCATCAAAGTACAGCATTGACATTGTGCTAAGTTTGGTTGGAATGCAACAGGAGTTCACGGTGCCCGGGTTCAGCCCCCGCATTCGGTACTGATTCACGACAGCGGTGTGAAAGGAGGAAGCCGACCCCGGGACGCCGGCCAAGTAGGCCGGGCAGCTCCCTTCACAGTAATTCCCATAGTAACCTGATGGTGCTATGATCCAGTCATTCCACCCAATGAGTCTAAAGTCAATGTAAAACTGTTGCCTGCAACATAGATTGGTCCTGCCATCGCACTCCAGGCCTCTTTTCCGGATCCTGTGTTTGTTATCGGCGAGGCGGGCTTGCACCACTAAAAAAGGCCGGTGGGATTCCTCCCCGGGGTCCACATAAATTGGCAGCACTGAATACTCTTCACAGCCCTCACATTGAACATCCAAGTTCAGTCTCCTTTCTCCTCTCTCAAACAGAGCCTGGATCGCCTCTGTCATGGGAAAAGTGTGCCAACCACTTCTTTTGAGATCGACTTTCTTTTCAACCACATTCCACTTGTTGCTAGTGTCCGGGTCTTGGAAATAGACTTTGACTCTTACTTTTCGCCTGCTGCCTTTCTCTAAGACATATGGAAGCAGCTTCAAGTAAAGCCACAGGCTGGCTTGAACGACAAACAAGTTCTGGTTCCCTTCATTCGAGATGAAGAAATAGAGGCGGACTCTAGATGAGGCCAGATCGTCTGCAAGATAAGGAGAGATCAGCAAGATTAAGTCAAAAAGAAAATGTATCTTTTGTGCGATTCTGGATTCAGCGGCAACGCCAGAAGACAGCTGATCGAAAGAGCGACGAGGCTGCATCAGCCAGAAGGCATGCACTGAATCAGATATCCCAAATTCGTAATGGAAATTAATTGCAAAGGGACTTCCCGCAGCGACGTTCGTACCCAGGCTATAGCCGAACGCGTCAGATCCGCAGACACCGGTCAGGGCTCTCCAGAATACTGGATTTTTCCAGCCGGATAGCTGCAAGGACGCCGCAACAGTACCTTGAAAAGACCGGCGCTTGCGCTGCCCTATCTCGCCCGTTTAAGAATAGTTTTAACTTTCAGCCGCCGGCCGATTCTCACAGGGAGAGTCTTTTCAGTAACCATTGAAACATCAGTGCCAAACCGGGGATTTTGTTTCAATTTTCACGTATTCTTGTCACAGTTTAGCAGGGCGGATTCTCGAGATAGGGGGGAAAATATTTCAGCTGTGTGCCTACTTGTCCAGCAGCTTAAACTAACCCCCCTCTTAGTCGGGTACAATATCTGCCATTAATCATTCCCATCTCTGCTTTTCCCCCGTAACGATAAACTCACACCAAGGCGATCAAACGAAGCAGTTGCTCTCACTGCAACGCCATTACTGACTGCTCTCAATACACTTCTCAATAACACCAGAATTAAAGGAGCGAAATTATCGCAGAAAACCAAATGTCACCAAATGTCTGACATAACCCATTATTTGTAAACACGAGAGCCTACTGCATAAATTGTTTCAGAAATACCAGCGTCCCTGCTGCAAGCCCGTACTGTAAGTCCTACCCCAATTTGGCGTAGGTGATAAATGTGCAAGCTGGCCTTTACAGCGGGGACTGTAATTCTGGTCCTTGAATCGGAGCCTCCCCATCGCTATCTAAAATTATTGCTGGAAAGGCATTTTCTCATCCATCCTTATCTGTTTGACATCTTTCTGTACAGAGCCAAATGTAAATTTCTCTTCCTTTTCTTTCCTAAGAATCTTTATTATTTTTGTCAGTCTCTGAATGGGATTTTTTGCGTAGTCGGTGTCTTCATTTGTTACCCCGGGCGCCTTCCTAATGTGCCTGCAGGGCCCATTCGGCACCTTGTAAGATTTCAGGGACAAAAAAATTGCACCGTGCTTGTCTATGTTTTACACCGACTCAATTTCGGAAGTGTTACAAAAGCCAGTGGTTAATTGAAAACCAAATGGAAGCACAAGCCCACCCCAGATCTCCCATCAACAGCCTGACAGAAAATAATAACACCGCAAATGTACGCTGCGAAAACCTTCCGTACACTAGCAAATACACAACTTCTTCATAAACTGTGGTGACAGTGACAGAAAAAGAACAGTACGGTGTTGCTGCACCGATCCACATCACTTGTGTTGTACGAAATTGTGTGTGCCCATAAATTTTGTATGTGAATATAACAAGCAGATGTATAATGCAACAGATCCCATAGATACTGTAAATGTATATGCCTTTGGTAAGTGGGAGGGTAGATAAAGAAGATGAGTAGGCAGCATACAGGCTAGAAAGAGATTTATTTTGTGGACAAATGATATATAGATGCCACGGGAAGATAGAGAGGGAGAAAAATGAAGTGAGTGAAAGAGCGATGAGGGAAAGGAGAGATGGGCAGATAGGCAGGAGACAGCTAATTTGCAGAGCGCTGCTGTTAGGGCCAGATGCGCAAAGTTCGCAGGCACAGCAGCTGCCTGGATAAACCGCTGGAAAGCTACGCCAGAGGGATTCGGGGACGTGTAAGCGCGATGGCTGCGCAGGACCGAGATGGCTGGTACCGAGGGGATGGATGGCACAGCGAGCGCGCGGACCGACGGACAGGGAGCGGACAGACACCGCCGGCAGCAGGCTGCGCGCAGCGGACAGACAAGGCCAACACCATGAATGAACGCTAAATAAATGGGAAAGGAACGGAAAAGGGCGGACAGGCAGATGCAAGTCTCAACAGACGGATGCACGCAGCGAAGCAGCTGAATGTGCAGGGCAGGCAGAGGAGGCGAGGGATGCAAGAGACGGAGCGGGACAGGCGGAGGAGGGAGGGACGGGGACAGCGGCAAGCAGCTGGAAGGACACCGGAGGGGGACACGGGGACACGGAGGGCGCAACCCGGAGGGGAGCCGGGGCATGGGGCACACACGGGAAGGACGGGACGGAGCGGAGGGCAGGGGTGAGGTGTGCGGGGAGGGAGGATGCGAAGGGGGGCAGGAGGATGAGCCGGGTGGGCAGGTGCCTGTGGCAGGCAGGGGGACAAGCAGGCAGGGGGACAAGCGGAGGGACAGGCAGGGGGACGGGAAGGGGCTCAGGCATGGGGACAAGCAGTCAGGGGGCCAGGCAGGGGCTCGGGCAGGGGGACATGCAGGGGGGCCAGGCGGGCAGGGGGACATGCGGGGGGTCACGCAGGGGGACGGCCGGGCAGGGGCCAGGCGGGAGCGGCAGGGCCGAGGGCCGGGCGGCGCCCACCTGTCTCGGCGAAGCTGATGATCTCGGAGACGGGGTCGTGGGCCGGGGGCCCGGCGCTCGCCTGCCCGTCCAGGCTGGGGATCTCCACGCGGCCGTCCTCCCGCACCTTGCCGGCGTGCAGCTTGCGCAGCGCCGTGACCATGGCCGCCTTGGGCACGGCGTGCGTGATGTTGGGCCGGTCCCGCATCTGCAGCCGGCTCAGGATGTGCCTCTTGACCGCCTCCAGGAAATCCCCGTCCACCTTGCCCGGCTCCTCGGGCCGCCGGAAGCCGCAGGAGGTGCATGTGTCCTGCGGGGAGCCGCCGGCGGGGGCCGGCGGGGTCGGGGTGCCCGAGGCGCCCAGCAGGAGCAGCCCGCAGGCCAGCAGCGCGCCCAGCACCCCCCGGCGAGCCGCCCCGTCCATGGCGGAGGAGCGGGGGGCCGAGCTGGGGGCCGCCACCCGGAGCGCCGCAGGGAGCCCGTGTGCAGGCAGCGCCGCGCCGAGCTCCGAGCGCTCCGCGGCGCGGAGGGGGCGGTGGCAGCCGAGTGGGGGGCCGCAACCGCTCCGCGCAGGGGGGGGCCGGGGCCGGCGAGCGGAGGGAAGGGAAGGGAAGGAGGGAGGGAGGGAAGGAGGGAAGGAGGGGGCGCCCGGGGAACGGCGGCGTGTGCCGCCGGGGGGGAGGCTGCACACGCAGGCACCGAGGGCGAAGTTGGGGAGGGAGGGATGGAGGGAGGGGAAGGGGGGGGGGGAGAGGCTGGCGGTGCACCGAGAGCCCGGCTCTCCGACGGGGGAGGGGGGCGGCAGCAGGTGAGGGGGTGGCTGCGGAGCTCGGGGTGGGGGGGGAGAGGGGGGAGCGGGCCGGGGGTGCGAGGGGAGCCGGGGAGCTGGGGGAGGCGGCGCCGCGCTGCCCCGGGGCCCCGCGCCGCTTTCAGAGGGGCATCCCCGGGCGGCGCCGCGCCTGGTCCATCGCTCGCTTCGGCAGGTCCGGGCGGGCCGCGGAGAGGAGCTCTTTAGTCCGGCGTCATGGAGGGGGGTCAGGGAGATAAACGAAGCAGATTTATATACAATCCAATTTATAGCCTGGCAGGAGGGGGGGGTGAGAGGGGGGGGAGCAGTGCCACTTGTACCCCCCCGCCCACTCCGCCCCCGCAAGACGACGAGCCGCAGGCCGTGGGTGCGGGTCCCCGGCTCGGCTCGGCTCCGCACCGCACCGCTGCCCTCCCGAGCCGGCCCGGAGCGGAGCCGGGGGCTGCGGGGAGCGGGGTCGACGCCGGCAGCCCCCCCGGCGGCGAGGCTGGCCCCCCGAGCCCCGCTCCGGAGCGGTTTCCTTCGAGGCTCAGCGCCGAGGATGCTGCGGCGGTGCCCGGCGCGGCCCCGCAGCGGGGACTCGATCGGCTGGATCCCGGCGATCCCAGGAGCGGCTGCACGGATCCACTCGGTCAGACCGGCTCTTCTGCTCGCTCCCTCGCTCGCTCTTTTTAAACAAGATCTCCCTTGCCGGTGGTTTGGGGTTTATTATTGTTGTTATTGTTATTATGATTTTAAGTGTGATTTTTGTTGTTGTTGTTGCTGCCGCTGCCGCTCCAGTTAATCTGTCTCCCTCTCTGCCTCTTTCTCTCGCTCCGCGTCTTTTTGATCTTTCGCTCGCCTTGTGCTGGCTTGAACGCCGTGTTTGGGTTTGTTTTGGTTTTTTTAACGCGTCTGATGTTCCCTCGCGGATCCGCAGTGGAAGGTCTCGGGGAAGCGGCTCGCTCCTCGCTTATCTTCCTCTGATCTCCTCCTGCTAATTTTCCCCCCCTGCAAAATCACGACATTGTGGCACTTTCTACTGAAACTTTTATACAGGAGTTAAAACCACGTGGGAACTCCAACCTATAACAGAGACGCCATTGGGTTCCTCACTATTTAGGAGATTAAGTTAAGTCTTTTGCCCCCTGGGCTATTACAGTAACTTCCTGGTGTTGGAAATATTAACTGTGCTGCTTCTTTAACTCCCCCCGTCCCCTCCCTCCCTCCCGGTTCCCGCAAACACACCCACCCCGCACACCGGACAGACAGACAGACGGACACCGAGCAGCGGCATCCCCGGCATCCCCCCCACCCCAACCGGGCTGGGAGATGGATGCCCCCCCCCACCTCCCCGGGGTGCTCCTTCCCTTTTAAGCACTTGAAAGAAGAAGTCATTAGAAAGTTTCCCGTCGGGTTGGCTTCGCGACGGGGCGGGTTTCTGTTTGTTTGTTTGAATGGGCCGGGTGAGAGCTGCCGGGGCTGCCGATTTTCGTGGGGCAGGGCCGGGAGGGGGGCGGCAAAGGTGGGGGGGGTCCCAGGGTGACAGCGGCAGATAACGGGAACCCGGGGCTGGCTGAGGATCCCCGGGTACCTCTCCGATATCCTCGCCCCCCGACGGGCTCAGAGGGAGATGCCCAGCAGCCAAAACCCCCCGAGGGCTGCGGGGAGCCCCCTCCGCTGCCCCCATCCCGGGGCAGGAGCGGCCCCGGGGACGCAGCAGCTCCGCGGAACGGCCTCGGGCATCGCCCCCCCCCCCCTCCGCGCCCCGCTGCGCGCTGCCCCGCGGCCCCTGCGCGCCCCCGCCGCGGGGAAGGCTGGGCACAGGGCGCCCCCTCCGGGCCACCACGGGAAGCGGGAGCCGGGGGGCGAGCAGCCGAGCCCCGGGCCCAGGGGTGCTGCTGCTGCTGCTGCTGCTCGGGGGCAGGGTGCTGCAGAGGGGGAGGCAGAGGGAGGTGCGCGCCGGGGGCTGGGATGCGGTCGCAGAGCTGGGTTGGGGGGTTCTGACAGCTCAAGGGGGCTGCCGGCTGTTCTAATCGCAGCTTGTTTTTGTTTTTTTTTAACCCACGAAGGAAAATGTAACTTCAGGAATGAAAGCAAAGCCCAGAACCTGCTGCCTTTTCAGCGAGCTGAGTGGTGGTTTTCAAGGGGTAGGTGCGGGATGTGCACGTTTCTGCATGACAGCAAAGAAAAAAATATATCCTTCTGTGCATTTCAGTTTTTAAAAGGAAAATAAAACTTCTTACCTACGCCTGGACTGTGCACACGTGTGAGTTCTGTTAGCTGTCACTAATAGCAGCAACACAAGAGCGTAAAGGGGTCAACTGGAGGATCGGATTGTTCCTGCGATTTAGGAATTAAAGGGAGAAATGCTATTCTCATGTTATCGTGAACATTTTTTCTTGTTCTGCACTGCAAAAGTGGAGACTTTTTTATAACACTTAATACTGTACTGTAAAATTGCACTGCAAACCCAGTCTCATTTTTCACTTTGGGTTTAATATAAAAGGAGGTGATCTTTAAGGTCCCCTCCAGCCCAGGCCATTCTCTGATTCTGTTCTGTGATGCCACAATAAACACTAACTGCACACACAGTACTGTGAATCAAAGCTAAACCCTCAGTATCACTGCAGCTACCCTGACGGGAGATCAGAATTAGATACTGTATTTCCTCCTTCCCATTAGCAGGTTTTGAATGGAAAGCCTGGAATGTAAAAAAAGAAATAATGCTAAAAATCCAATCACTCTGACATCCTGTAAGCTAATAAGAGCACGTGAATGCAACAAGCTTAGTACTTCACAGTAATTAATTTGACAGCAAAGAGCTAACAAGAAAACAACAGGCAGAGCAGTGATGACTGGTTCATAGAGGTCACCGTCACACAAGAAATAGGTGTAAACACAGCCCCTCTCCCTTTGAAAACAGCTGTTTCATTGCCCCAGTAAGAATGAAATGCCAAAGAGGAAGAAAATACCATGCCTTCCACGGGGGCAACAAAACTGGGAAGGTATTTCTTGTCATAACACAAGGTAGAGATTTTCTCTTTTAAACGCAGCAATTTTGACTTGTCCCTGCTCCCAGCTGCAGTGGCGTGTTTTGGCTTTTTTTCCTCCTCTTCTGTTTTGGTTAGCCAAAGACATTTTGCATATTCAAACATTGGGAAGACTTATCTTCTCCAGCAATTACTAACAAATGAACACGCTAATAAACCCCATTGTTATTTAAAGTGTGTCCACCAGAACTCTGGAGGCAGCTCCTGCAGTGGACCTGCTCTGGCTTCCTCCTAGAGACGCAATCAAACCTCAGATGCTTTCAGGCAGGAGAGCCTACAGGGAGGGCGAACAGGGTTAGCAGCAAGAAACGTGCCGTTTGATTTCTCATCATGCTCAGGGAGCACGGCTTATTGATTGAGTCATACAGCTCTGTTAATTTTAAGATCTCCTCAGCTTTCAGTTCTTTCCCCTGGGCATAAACTTGTTGCTTACCCCGAGCAGCTGAACCAGCAGGGAAATGGTAGCTTCACGCTCCCCCCGCGCCTCCCCCCGTTCTCTGTTTGTTCTGAGCTCATCTGCGCGAGGACTCGTTTTCACACACACCTTCTCAAACCGGCTGCTGTTCATCTGATTCAGGGTCATGCTTTTCCATACATTAAACGCAGGGGAGAACTGGGAAGGAAATGGCTGGGATTTGTGCTTAATGGGCAAGCGCACGTTTTGCCAGGAAGCCCTGCTGTGAGAGGTGCAGGTTTGGAGGGCATTTTCTGCAGAAACATCAAGTCTCACGGCTGGAACCTGATGCTTATTAAAGCTACTGGTATAATGAGATCACAATGAACTCGGTTCCTCAACCAGTGTAACCCAGCGTGCTTCTGAGCCATCGGACTGCTACAAGTCTCTCTCTGCAACCCAGCTATGTGCCAGGAGGCGGCCGGTGCACAAGTCACGCTGTCACAGAGGCCAGGCGGTGCAGCCCTGCACCTTCCCGAGTCTGGAGGACTCTCTAAAGCGGAGGAGACAGCGATGGCACGAGGCAGCTCCCTCCCTGGGCTGTATTTTCATAACACCCTCAGTGGGACTGTCACAGTTTACACTAGCTGAGGATCTGGCCCCACACATATTGTTCAAGCACCTTTTATGCTCTTAAACCAGTAATAATATCTGTTAGGTAACCTTACTAATCCCTTTGAGGAAGGATTTTCTTTACTGTACTGATGGCTGAACTGACTAAAGCTTTATATATAAGAGGCCTGGTTTGTGCTACAAATGCTTCTCCTTTGATACCAGCAAATACAAGTTTCACTAGCACAAGCATCTTTTTCTGCAAGCATTTCCCAAATAAAATAGGCTATACCGGCAAAAGCACTTCTTTTTTTTGCTCATATAGCTGCATCTACACAGAGGATTTTTGCACATAGTGGAAGGCAATCTGTTTTAAATGGCACTTCAGAAGAGCATTGCTATCCCACAGAAGTTTCAGGCTAGACCTGGAAGCATGCACTCCTGCCCTGTATCTGAAAGAGCTTTTTACAAGGTGGCCATTGTCATCTTGCTTTAAATACAGAGAAACGAAGAAATGTGGTTACAGGGATGGGTTGTGGGTACTGTGCTTGATCTGGGAATTTTTATTCATGCCCTTCTTTTGCTTCAGCTGAAATTACGCATCCCTAATCAGCCCAATTCCTCACTGCCCATAAATACTTTTAAAACAACTACAAAAGAAACAGTGGATGTTTCAGAAGCACCTTAGCTTTGTAAAAGGAAAAGTCCTATTGAAAATCAAGTAGGTAAATGACATTCTGAAAAAAATTGGATGTTTTCTGAACTTGCAGAGGCAAACCTAACTCATGGGAAAAAACAGCAAGAGGTTCACTTGGCTCCTTTGTTCTGCCAGTGCCTCTTTAAGAGAAAGCTGTCTGCTAACGGAGCTTTGTTCTTCCTAAGAGAGGCTCCTGTTCTGAACAGCAGCTGGAAAAGAGGGTATAGCAGGCAAAAGCAAAGGACCTGGCCATCTGGGAATCCTTTTCTAAGGCAGGTATAGTGAGAATCTGGAAGATGAGTCACAGAGAAACAGAGCCCTCAACAGGTCTGGAAGAGCACCTAATGAGTCCCAGCTACTCGCACAGGTGTCAGGCAGGAGAAGGACATGGGGGCAGGCAGAAGGACTGGATTTCAGGGGCACGCCAATAGCCACAGCCACCCATTCCCGCTGCCCCTGCTCTTGGGCAGCTGCAGTCCCGCTCTGGGCTTCATTACCTGGTGGTGCCTCACGGGCAGCATGCCAGCTGATCTGTCCTCTTCTCGGCCCCTTCGTGCTCCAGGAAGGTTTGGACCCACGCTCCCAGGCTCGCTGCGTGACACAAAGCGCGTGCAGGTGGCTTGTCCCAGACAGGTCTCCGAACAACGCAGCGCCTTTCGGCAAGTGGATGTGGTTCAGTTTCCAAAGTAAAGGAACCAAACACCATCAGGTGGATACCCCATGCGATATTCAGAGGGTGTCCACTGCTTGTGGATGGCCCAGAAGCGCTCGTTTTCCTCGCACACTTTGTCCTCTGCAGTCCAAAGCCGTAGTCTTATAATCAAGCAGTGACTTCCTCTGAAGTTGCTTGTATTGACCTAAATAGGTTGGGGCGGGTGAGGACACACAGACAACATGAAAAAGCTGTGCTGGTTGCCCAACAAAGAAGTGTCTGCTTTGTGGTGAGTACTTTTAACATATAAGCACTTTTAACATACTGTTAAAGAACATGATTTTCATGTTTGCATTAGTTCACACCAAAAGCCTTGCAAAGTAGCAGAGTGAAAATAAAATCTGCATTTAAGTGGTAAACAAAACAGTTAAAATTTGACTTCTCGTAATTTGAGTGCTACACACTAACGTAATGCATTTCAAAGTCAACTGGTGTATTTATTCTATACATCCAGCTGTGATGCATCTAACAGATCGGGAAAAGAAACACTAGGATGGAGCAACGTTAACATTAGCTGCCCTGAGAAAAAACAGTGATTATCAGGGAGTGGGGACAAGATGGAGAGGTCTCCCTCTAAATGTAAATAGATCTCAGAAGCAAAAAATGTCTGGCACCTTTGAAATGCTGGGGGGGGGGTGTTATATGGGATACAGAAGCTTCAGCCATCTCCTGATGGACAATTGGTAGCACCTGGTGAGCACCCAAACATAAGCAACTTTCTCTTTTTCGCAAGCAAACAATACAATTTAAAGGAAGCATCTACAGGTGTAGGCCAGGCTGCAGCCGGAAGACCTGTGCTCTGTACCCCCTTTTCACCAGCTATATATTGAGTATAACAGCACTCAACCTTTCTAAATCGCTTTGAAACCAAGCGGAGAAAAGTAGCATGCAGGAATTCATCCTATTCACAGAGGCTGACATTAACAGCGTGGCCTTGGTACTGCCTGGCAAAAGTCATTTTCAGTCTATTCATACTTAAATTGCCCAAGCTTATTTTCTGTGAGTCTTTTGTTAAAGCAAACCAGAACTACTATACCATGTGTCTATTTGCACAAGAACAGTTGAAATTGGTTTTTAAAGATTACTGTGCTATGACTATGCAGTCACTGCTAGATCTGGGGGCAGAGCAGGAAGGTTTCTGTGATGGCACGGCTTACCCCAACTACATCCTCGTCCACCAGTTTGAGGAAGGAGCATCTTCCCCTGGGGCTGAGCAGGAGGACCTTGCCACATTGAGGATCTCTATCGATTCAACACAGCTGAAGAGGGGTCCCATGCAACTTGCTTGGTGCGTTTGGCCATTGCAGGCCTCTAGCATGCTTAGGCCATCTTGCCCAGTATGTGAGCCATGCTCACACGAGCCACACGCAAGCTCCTCTGCTCCCACCGATGTTTCAGTGCTATCAAATCATGAGGGGGCTTATTAACAGAAAGCTCCCAACTGCCTTCTGTCCTGCCCACACAGTATTTATGATTTTTCAGTCAGCACTGCCTGCCCCCTCATGAGGGAATAGCTTGAGTCTGCCATGTGACTAAAACAAAATGGATGGTATGCTCTACAACCTAGGTGCTAAAATCTGCCATTCTGTGGTGCTAAGGGGCATAGTTTGGGAATGGGACTCAGGAGGTTGGGTTGATGGTTAGATTTGGTGACCTTGAAGGTCTTTTCTAACTTGGATAATTCTATGATTCTTCCAGAATGCCTGAAAAGCACACACATGGTGACTTTCACACACATGGTGACACACAAGGCTATCCTTTCTGCTGAGACCACCACGATGTCCCCTCAAAGATGTTTTAAGAACGAGGGAACATTTCAGTCCCCACTCACAGGCAGGTCCCATACTGCTGTCTCACCCACCACTGCCTCCTTAGCCGTGGGGCAGCTTATTAGTAAAGAAAAACCCTTACACTTCTGCATAGCCCTTTGCCATTTCTGAGCAAGTCTCACCCCCTAACATTTACTGTTGTGGTTTAGGTCCTTACAGCAACATTATTGAAAATAAATCATAGTATGTTGAAATATTACTGTGAAATATGCTATTATACAAGGGTGAGAACAAACCACTGCTCTGGAGACAGCAAGAAGAGGAGCACATGGACCACATTAAGCAAACGTTGGGCCCACCAGAATTACGCAGGTACTGAAACTTTAGGAGGATGCAGAGAAACAACAGGAAAGTGTATTGTTTTAGGGGTTTTTTGCTTAAAAGATGAGAGAGAGAGCCTAGGGGAGAGGAACGCATGAAAAAGAGGAGGATGAGCCCTTTTTTTTTTTTTTTTTTGGCTACTCCAGATGGGGTTTTCCTCTGTTTAAATGCTGAAGGACAGAAAGATTTTAAATTAAAATCTTAATAAATATAGCCCTGAGGCTAGTAACATTATTACATCCAAGATGATTACAGCAACCAAGCCACAAAAGAAATATATATATATATATTTATTTGAAGCATAATAAGCCTCAATATTTAGTCAGGAGAAGGCTAGGCAGCTAACTGACTTCCAAAGTAGTGAATTTTGCATTCCGCTGTGCTGAAAGGATAAACCAACACTGTACTTATTTTGCAGGGCTTGGTTTCATTTCTGCACAAGATTGCATTATTACTGTTTCTACTTATATATAAATTACAATTGCTCAGATCACATGCATAAGGGTTGGCAGGAGAGAAGCCCGAGTCTGCAATAAGTGATAGGAGATATGGAGATAATTAGTTAGCTTCCTTGTGAAAGAACAACTTGGTTCCTCCAGCTTGCTTGAGTGAACAAGGTTTGCTCTCCTTGAGATATCTGCCTTTTTTCAATTGATTCTAATTTGAAGACAAGGTACCACAATTTATTTATTTTACTGTTTGTTTTAATTATGGGAATATTTTAATAAAGGATACAGGGAAAATACAGGGATACAAAGAAGAGGATACAAGCTGATAAAGATGATTAAATCATAGAACGACTGCAGAGTGGGTCATGAAGTGTTATAATCCCCAACTCCCCTCTGCTTTCTGCCTCAATGTGTTAATGCATCACACTTTAGTACAGTGACACTTTCAGCCCTAGGTGGAAATTCACACATGATGAAGAGGTGGAGGAGGATTTCCAGATGGTCAGACCTCAGGGAGTGCGAAAAGGTGGGGGGAGGAAGGGAGAAACTGCTGAAGGAAATCGGACTTTGGTCACATCAGTAATTTCCAGCTGAAAAAGGAATATTAAAAAAAAATCCCATACCAAAGCCAGGTGCATTCAGGTTTGGGTGTTGTGAATGGTAATTCCTCCCCACTGCTGGTCATGAAAGATGCCTTGGAACTATTGGCTTATCTGTGTGTAACAGTAGAAGGGGCGAGCTTCGTTTCCTTGGCCAAATTTCAACATGGGTACTAAAGCATCCCAACGTAGATCCGATTAGTTGCTCTATTCTCCACAGCTCCTCTTTACTAGAGGCTATTACAGAGTAGTACTTGCTCCGAACTACGCACAAACTTTCCCTGCAGCAGAGATTGCATTTGACTGCTGCGTGTCCTCTGGGGCCCTCTTCTGCAGGGCCACCTCCAAGTGCAGTGAAGGGCACTGAGAGAGAAAAAATGCAAGGCCTGCAGCTAGTGGGTCCCCATCACACCCCAAAATAGGCCCCGCTTCCCCTTTGGGAGAGTACAAGGCAGCAGCTGCTATCACACAGCTGGACTTCTCTAAGGCTGCCTCATTTACTGTGGCCTTTTGGGGGGAACAGGAAAGTAGTCATGGTCCAGAGTTCAAGGGGTCTGGTCCTTCAGGATGAGAGGTGCTAGGACTGCATATGGAATTTGCAATGGATTGTACTTTGCACAGCCACAGCTCTTTCCAGCTGTCAGTGTCAGGGGACCTTTAGGGTAATCACTTATTTAGGCAATAGAGTACCCCTACACTGGGGAGAGAAAAAAAAAATAAATCTTCTCCTTAAAATAATATAAAAGGTGATCATTGGATATGACGACTCTGACCACAGTTCTAAAGGCTCTGCTTCACTTCTTAGGTGTTCCTTGGATCAGAGCATTTCCCCTACCGCAAAATAGACACTAAGGATGCCAGTGGTGTGCAGTCATGATGGAAAGTAATGTTTTGTTGAGTATCACCAGTATGATTGTACACTGTTTACCTGTATTTCCTGGATGGCAACAAAGTAAGTTGACCAGAGGATGATGAACTACTTGGACGAATGTCATGAGAAATGAGGCTGTCGCACACTGTTTACACTTTGGGGAAATGTTTGTTGAACGTCCACTCCCTGACACTCCCAGTACAAACCACATTGTGCACACAGGGTCAGGAAAAAGCTCAAGGAGACAGATGAAACTGCTTTGCTTTGTTCTGCTCCTGCTAGTGCAACTTTAAATCTGTGCTTTTAGCTGATGCTGAATACTTCCAGCCATTAAATGACTTAAAATGTTAAAATCACTAATGTCATAGCAAAAGGTGAAGGAACATCAGGAACCTGTTGCGTCAGTGAGTCCCATAAGATGCCTAGGTGCCTGGACCCAGCTTTAGTGGCAGGCCCTCGGCTTGTGGACCTGTAAAGCCTGAAGCATCCGTCTTGGGCTTAAGCCCCTTACCATGACTGAATGAACATCTCTGACTTTCTTCCCTAAAGGGCTCAGCGCAGCAGGTGTTTTCAGTCTGCCCACCTTCCAGATCAGGTGTCCAAAACTGCGGCAGTAAATATCATTCTTTTCTTCCCTTTTCCTAAAAGAGCTCAAGGTGGGTGGAGAGGATGGCAGCAAGCTATTTTTATTCATACCTTCATTTAGTCAGTAGTCCAACAGTTCACAATAGAAGAGCTGGGCTCAGTCCCCTTCTCTGCCTTACAGGAGTCCTGGGAAGCACGAAAACAAGTCAGGTTTCCTCAGGAAGATATAGGGTGATGCTGGGAGGGGGGCACCGGGGTGCTCTCCAAGCCTCCAGTTGCACCCGTACAGGCCTAAGGGCACATGCTGCCACTAGGTATGCTGTTCTGAGAGTCATGAGACCAGACCCCCGCTGCAGCCTGCAGCCAAAACATCCCCAAGTACCTCATCCCCATTAGAATAGCTTCCAGAGGACAGAGGCAGTCCCCTCCCTGGCACAGAGTACAACCCGGTGAGCACACTTCTGGGAGAGGAGACGTGCAGACTCCCTGGGGCAGAAGGGAATTGAGCCATGTGAAATTCCCTGTGCTCGGCCCTAGACTTTTGAGCACAGAGCAGTGTGTATACAAAACATGGCAGCGCTGCCAACCACCCTGCCTTTCCCTGACAAGAACGGACCCACGCTCTGTTCCTGGAGGAAAGCCAGGAGGGAGTCAAAATTGTGATGCCCAAGGGATGCTCAGCCCCTGAGCAAGGTAGACTTCAGAGGCAGCGCTCCCCATCACCTACTTGGGCAGCAAAGCAGCCTTTCGCATTTGGTGGCTGCCATTTTGAGGGTGTGCACAGCCCAGGGAGCTTCGCTACAGAATGCAAAGATCTGGGGTTTCCAGTGGCTGCCAAGAATTGAAATCGCAACACTCTCCATGGTGGTACCCGAGCCTTTTTGTAAGGATGCTTTCTTAACAGGGGAAGCGTATTCCCTCAAACCAAAACATCAGAGCAGTCCACAAAG